GGGGGGGGGTTACTATGCTCTGTGAACTGACATCATTAGAGCTCAGCCATGATTTCATTTCACCCATTATCCTTTGAGACACTCGGCGGGACAGGAATTAGATCATCTGTTACTGAGCCACAGCTCAGGTTACAGCGGGGGAAAGTTCCTGCTGCAGCTGATCTATATGTTCCTCAGTTTTCCCCCGTGGCTCCAGCTCCGCTCCCGGGCTTCACACATTGTGTTGTAGTTGAAACATGGAGCTATTTTTAAAAATAGGAGAAGGCCTGAAGGTGACAGCGTCCCCCTCCTTGTTCCTGACCTTGTTGGGGCCTCGGCATGTAGGACAGCCACTTGATGTTATTTCTGTTTGGACACTGTTCACTAACGAGGACGAGACGGCAGCACGCAGGTCTGAGAGGGGAGCGCTTGACTTTGACCGGTGTGACTCTGCTCTGAGCGGAGGTTCGATTCCACACATTAAAACATTATCTACACACAGAGTCATCGTTAATTCCATATTTCTGTTTGTTTCCTCAGTAAATTCATTATTGACCCTCAACAGCCTGATTATTAAAAGAACCTGAAATGAAAACATGATTCAGTTTGTTTTCCTGAAACCTCAATATCATACAACCATCGTTCTTTTGACCAGAAACGTTTAAACCAGAATCGATGACATTAAAGACTTTTCATGCATCAGTGTGTGTTTGTTATGAGATGGAGACATCATGTGATCGTGTTGTTTGAACTCTTTGGCCCCGAGGCTGAAACAATAGAGATCTACTGAGTCCAAATCCAGAGCACAAAGAGGCTCATGTCACATAACGACGCATCAGCACTTTTTATTTTTTTTTGAACAGATGCATCAGAATGTGCTTTAACCAGTTTACAGTTCAGGTAAAATCTGAAGTGAAGTTTGCAGCGACTCCTAAATCGAGTGATTTTTAAAACCGCGCATTAAGTCGTGCAGCATTTTAATGTTTCCCTCATATCTTATATATTTGAAATCATAACTCATGTCAGTGATGTTTTATTCCCTGAGACGCTTCATGTAAACTCTACCTGATCCATCGGGGATGGACCTGACGAAGGTGGGCAGCATCTTGACGGTGGCGGTGGTGCTCGTGTCACGGCCGAGCCCGTTCTCCATCTCCCTGCGGAACCGGTTCATGACGTCCTTCAGCGTGTCATCCGAGAAACGCATGGAGTACAGGTACTTATCGATCTAAAGTACAGGAAGAAGACACAAACACAAGGAAGTCAGGGATACTTCAAAATAAAAACCCAGATATTAAAACCTTTAAACAGCAATAGATTTAAACATAAATCCAGACGAGGGGTTTATCTTCAACTGTCCTACAACAGTCTAACTTCAGATTAAAAGCATGCATGAACCTGCCTCTACTCGGTATATATACTAACTTTTTAATATTTTATATACAACAATATCATTTCTACCATATGATGACAAATAATCTTTAATTGCAAAAGTTAAGAAGCAAAGATTCATAAAAAACATCTTTGAACTACACATGATGCAATGTCCTGACTCATCATATGATGGAGAATAACTTTAACTTTGTTATTGACGTTGACCTTTGACCGATCAGCTTCAAAAGTTAATCATCTGGAGATAAACTCTGGTAAACTATAAGTCCGTGTGCAAACAGCTGCAGATAACCTTGGTAACATGAAGTTTAAATTCGTGCCGTGTCACTGGTTAACTCGTGACAATAACCACGTGTTGACGTCAAACTTTAACTTCAGTGACGTTTTAAATGCTGCTCTCCTTTTCTTCCTTTGCCGTGTTGACATGGTTTGAATCCAATAATACACTGAGACACAGAAAATAATCATCTCTGGATTATTTCCCTCCAGCTCAACCGTTATTTCCACGAGGGTGTAATCTCTGAAGAGGTGGAAACATGAATTTGGCCTCCAACAACCGTGTTCATACAATCATCACACAGTCACACTGAGAGAACATTGAATAACTCGTTTCATCCCATCTTTGCTTCAGCTACGTCGGCCACTAGTTATCTGGCAAGGGTGAGTGATTTTTCAATAACAAGCCATTAGTCCTCGGTAAGAATTTGACCTCTACCCCCTCCGACCCAAAGTTCAACCCTTGTGTCAGGACACGTCGCATTGTGTTACCACTTCCTTTGAGTCGCACACATGTTAACATACAATGTGGAGGAGCCTCTGAACCCCTCCGATACTTTCACCATGTCTCAAAACTGCGGCTTCGCTAAACTCTTTAATCAGAAGATGCAGCAACACAATAATCAGCTTGTTTAAAACTGCCACTCTGTGCAGTTTAATTGCTGCATTACAGTTAATGCATCTAATTAGGGGACGTGTGTTCGGGGGGGATTTGCACTGGACGCTCACTGTTGTTGTTGCATAATCACACAGTGCATGCCATGGGGCACTCCGACCTATTCTGTCCACACGCTTGTTTCCCATCAGGCCTCTCTGTGTAGCTTTGCTATTATTAGCCTCTCAGAACAACCAGATGTGATGTGAGGTCAATAAACACTGTGGGAGATGATTCCCTAAAAGTAATGAGCAGAAAAATTAAGATCTTTTTCTTTTTCCTGTCGTTCGTCAGATATCTGTACTTCACTAATTCAACGTCTTTTCTTCAATGTTCACAAAAAAAACATCTGTTTTATTCTCGACCAGCTTGTTCTAAGATAAACTTAAATGATCCTGCGGCGGGAAAATCGTTACAGCTTCAGAACGACATAGAAAAAGTAGAAAAATATAACAAAATAGGGAAGAAAATAGAAAATTGAATATAAAAGTAAATACAAAACAATATATACCTTTATGCAGACACACTCTAGTATGGTTCCATCATTTATTTGAAGTGAAGTGATGCCGTTATGTATTTGTGGGACACGTTTGTATAAAACATAGTTGTACTCCTAAACTTTGCCCTAAACTTTATTGTTTCCTGTTTTTAAATTGATGAACCCACTTTTTGGAAATGTGGGAAGTTAAAAGTTGAACGCTTCATTAATCTGTCATTTCAGTGTGTTCTACTGTCGCCGCTCTCCTTCATTCATTCAGGTTCATGCTGAATATTTATCCAGTATTAAGTGTATCAGTATAATCCAGGGTTTACATCCTCGGTGAGCGTTTCCGCACCAGCAGGAAGTGTCAGGTTACGTCGTCCTACTTCATCATTGGTAGTGCAAATACTGCACCGTGACATCACGCATGACATCACAAATCCTCCACTCCCCCTCCACGTCTGCCCACTCCCCCCTCCAGGGGACATCTCGCTGCTGGTTTCTACTCATCCTCAGGTCAGTTTCTCTTCTCACACGTCTCTGCCGATGAATTCATGTCTTTTCCCGGCAGAAACAACAGAACGAGAGAAGAGATGGAAGAGGAGAGAACAACCCTGAAGCAGCAGGTGAGCGAGGGTAGGACGACATCATGGCGCTCACGACTCCCCCCCCCCCTGTCAGCTGCTCACAGACACCTGTCTGCTTCTGCTCTGGCCACCGGCGCTCTGGAAGCACTGGATGGTGAGGGTCTGTCTGCAGCACCATCACTCACCACAGCCTTTGTCAAGGACACCATGTCCAACACTGTAGAGTTCATCGTGGCCTCCGCCACTTCCCAAATCCACCCTCCTCTCCCAGCCCGTTACGCCCCACAGCCTCATGTAAACGCTGCCATGTTAGCCGGCTTCCATGTCTGCCCCCCCACCACATCACATCACACATTACTCCCCGACACAAAGGCTCCACGGCCTCCTGCACTCACCTTCTTGAGTTGATCATCCTTCAACTCGGTGAAGTAGTAGGCCAGGAGCTGAGCCGCTATCATCTTGGCTGCACGTCCGCCAGGAGCTGTCAGCGACTAGGAGGTGGTGAGAGAGTAGAGAAGGAGGGAGAGGAAGGCTGCCGTCCCCCCACAGTGATCCCTCTTTATCCTGGAGGAGGAGGAGGAGGAAGCAGGCCGCAGCTGAGCGCCGTGACAAGGCAAGGTTGAAGGAGAAAAGTCTGGTGGAACAAGAGTGCAGCAGTGGTCGTGCCTGCTAGTCTGCGACAGGCACACACTCACAGCCCCGCTCTCTCTCACACTCACACACACAACACAACACAAACACACACTCTGGATCACACAAGCACACACAGAGGCTGGGTTAGTGTGTGTCTCCTCCCTCCGAGCTGCTGGCTCCCTGTTAGCTCTGGGGAGATGCAGCAGCTCTGCACTGGAGTGGTGGTTCTATTATACCCTGCCCCCACCGTGCACTCTGATTGGCTGAGCAGGGGACGTGAAGGAGAGGAGGGGGCTTCTCCCACAGCAGTGAGGGAGGGAGGGAGGGAGGGAGGGAGGGGTGGTCTGAGCTGAGGGAGAAAGCTGCTCCTGCATGATAACCTGCAGGCGGACAGCAGCACAAGCAGACAGAGACTTCCCTCAGCCGGCCGCCACGTCCCGCACGTTGCCATGGCACCCAGAGGCGGACGTGCAGAGGGACAGGGCGGCCACATGATGATGTCATCACCTCTCTTCCTGCTGCATCACACTCCTGCAGCATCAGCTCCGGTCCACGCGGCGTCACATGCACACTGTGACATGCGACCGTTAGAGACTCGTGACCGATGGTGTCTTATCTCCTGCAGCCTCACAGTGTCTCAGTCCTCTGGGCAGGACACGGTGGACGACCCTCAGACCAGCACTCACAGAACCTGCGATTTTAAATATCTGGACCTTGGTGTTCACTCACGACCTTGGGACGATGGAAACGTCTCTTTTCAGTCGTGATAATAGTCAGAAAAACATTTTCCTGGCTCTGCCACCTGATCTGGATCCACACCAACATGTTGTGGGTTCGGTTTATGTCCCGCCTTGTAGCTTTTGTGTAATTAAAAACAAACCAAACCATCTGATCTCATCTTTCTTCACAATCTTGTTTTTTTAGTAATGTGATTCTTGTCAACGGGTCCTTGGTTCAAATCCCACAAACAAGCCTCCGATACAGTAAAGGGTTCCACTTCCAGTGTCCAGTGGGACCTGCAGGGTAAACAATCACTTCCTCAGAGAAACCTACACGGCCATTACTGGACGGACGGATACTTGATGGAATCCCAAGGAAAAGTAGGCGTCTCCTGGGTTTAACACTAACACACATTGTATGATTTCAGGAAGGTGAGGGGCGTTCAGCTGCAATATGGCACTTCAACACTAGATGTCACTAGATTCTACACACTGAACCTTAAATATGTCAGATTTTAAAGCTTCTGTTGTTTAAATGCTTGTAAATGTTCCGTTTGACACAAACAATAATAAATTAGTTTCATCTCTTCATCAATGAACCTTTTCACTTAAAGTCATCACATGGTCTGAAGCCCCTCCCCCACCCCCTGCAGCTCGGTTACGTCACCGCGCTCCGAGTGAAATCGTCTGCTGACTCGATGACGTGCGAGTTCGGTGACATCCCTCTCTTTTCCAACGGAACTGCTGTGATTTAGGACTTCCCTTCCTGATTCCTGAGTCCTGCCCATAACACCCCCCCCCCCCCCAAAAGAGAGAGAGAGGGAGAGAGGGAGAGAGGGAGGAGGGGCACTCAACATTCATTCACTCCTGTCAGAGGCAGAATATCCAGCGTGGTGTCATGGCTGCTTCAGGGTGACCTTCTCCGCTGACCTTCATGTGTGTCAGTCTCCTGACACACAAACCCACAACTCACTGAACCCACTGACAGGAAGTCCGTGCCCTGACGACACTCACACATCTGAGGACGAGTCAAAGTGAATTGACCGAAAGATTTCTTTCATTTACTTAAGGAAATTAAAAGAAGGAAAATAATTTGATTCCTTAAAAAGTAAGAAGTTTGTTAGAATATTGTTCAAGTGTTAAATATATCTAGGTTGGTTTTCATTGTGTAAAAGTTAATTTAATACTAATTTGGTCAAACTTTGTTTCTAGAGAAATGTTTCGACAGGATGCAAAGCCTTCATTCACGGCTCACACGTCTTCTCTTCTCTTGCTGTTAGTTTTGAAGTGTCGGCTGAAACTTTACAGCAAAATAACACCAATAACACCCTGATTACTATTTAGAGCTAATTACGACCAGTTGATTTGGGATCTTTATGAATGATTTGTTTCTGATCATAGTGTTAAATTTAACTTCTTAACTCCTCCTGAGGTCAGACTGTAACTGGGATAAAAATGATTATACCTATTATGGAATCTGTCTTCATTAGTCACAAACAAGAAAATGTAGAGAAACACATGATATGATGTATTTCTGCTGTTTGTGCTGACTTGAAGTCCAGAGTGAGAAGTGAATGTTGCTCTGCAGCGATGAGGCCCCTCAAACTTCTCCGTCAGATTATCATGCTCCAATAATCTCTTTTATTCCCACTACAAACAGGCTGTGTGCTGAGGCCAGAGAGAGGAGTGAGCATCAGCAGGAGACACACACACACACACACACACACACACACACACAGGCTTTGGTGTTTGTGCTGTAGAAGCTCATAATGTGTTGATTTGACCTGAAGATGGTGGAGGAGAGAATCGACTCGTCCACCAAGAAGCTCTTGTTTTCTCTTTGTCTGTCTCACTCGGGAATGTTTTTTTCCGTCGGGTCTTATAAAGTTTAAAAACTTCGAAAATCCAAATTTTACACCTTAAAAAGTTTTGAATATGCTGAAGCACGTGTGTTATGGAGAGAATTACATTTGAAATGATGTTGAAAATAAACACAAGTCTATCATGTTAGTCAGAAGTTCTCAAATTTAGATGAAATGTGTCCTTCAAAAAAAATGCTTGCCTTCTATTTCAATCATATTTAACTTTTTCTGTTTTTTTTAATTAAAAATGTAAATCAATTTAACAAAAGTTATGATTATTATATTCAACAACGTTCTAAATAATTCTCAGGGTCCCAGCTTTGTAAATACCAAAGTCTTCTATGATAATTCAGCCAAACTGAAGCTTCACATAAATTTACAGTAGGGGGCAGCGTTTAACCGAGAATAAGACAAAACTGACTGCAAAGGCTGATTCCACCAATTGTTGACACGACCGTCACTTTAAAACTCTGCAGAAACTCCGCATTGCAAATGAAGAGAGACACGAGTGAAGGTCGAATAAAAGATGCTTGAGTTGCATTGTGGGACATGAAGGATCCTGTGTCTGTGGAGATTGACCCAACGGAGTAGACGTCAGGAGATATCATCTGGCCTGGAGAAGCTCTATTAAAATGAATTATTGTGAAACTTGTTAAAGTTGAACTCCTCTTTCATCCTCACATCCGTCAGCGTCAAAGATCGGTGTGTTTCTCGATGCTTCCACTTGGAGTCGCCCAAAAAAAATCTGAAATTTCTAAATTTCTCCTCTTGGGGCCGTTACACAGGCATGTAATATGTTTTTATACGTTTCTATTGTATGCGTGTGTTTCAGAAGAAGTCGGCAGAGATTCAGACCCGTGTCCTGAAACAGAAGTGGAGGTGACCTTTAAAGTCACAACAACTGTCTCGTCAATAAACTCCCGGCCTCCTTTGTGTGTTGGACTTTGGACAGAAGAGTTGGAGGAGACACATACATGTCTTCTTCCTCTCAATCCTCACTCATATTATGTTCGAACAGTGTGAACATTAATAGCTGCAGCGGCTCTTGTACAGTAGGAATCGGGGGGGGTATCACTGTAACGGAGGCGCCGCAGGTAAAAATAGCCTGAGTGCTGCTCACATGTGTTGAGCCGAGGAGGACGGGCCGTCTCAAGAAACCTAAAAAGGTCTCGTCAGGTTTTCAGAGTCGGGATCTGCCAGCAAATGATCTGAAATCATCTGTCGCAGCTTGAATGAGTATTGTTGATATGAGCAGTGATGATGTAAGAAGTCGTCCTGTCAACAGAGCGAAAGACTCGATTATCAATGAGAGGAGCCGAAAGTCTCTTTTAAGAAATGTCGACTCCCTCGATGTTGATGGACATTTAAAAATGTCCTCTCAATCTTAAAATAGAAGTTTTGGACAGACGTGGATGAAACATACCTCAGAACACTTTTAATAAATGTGCAGGTAAGGATGCACACGCTTCATCTCCAAAGTGCAGAATGAGAGTAAAATCCGGGGGTAAAAGCTATATATAGTCTTAAGTGGCTCCATACATGGGGTGGAAGGGGCTCAGCATTCCTCCGGTGAGAGGGTAATATTTTTGTTACCATCAGCAAGTGCTTCCCAAGCGGCATCAGGCTGGTCTGCCACCGCTTTGCGCTGTTTTAATCTCTTGGGGTAAGTCACTTTTCTTCTTATTGGCTCCTCGCAGGTTGATTTTATCTCAGGAACATGTTTTTTTCCAGAAAGGGAGGAGAAGTTATCTGCTGTCAGAGGTGGAACGTGTTGCTGTGATAAACGTCTGGAGATAATCGGTCTCCTGTGAGAGGACGCAGCAACAGTCTGACGTCCCCGAACGGTACTTTCTCACATACCAGAGCATTAAGAGGCGGCCGGACCTCTTGTCCTAATTTGCGTCAGATAAACAGACTCTGGTAGAAAAACGATCGGCCACACAGAGAAGTAATTAAGAGGCAGAGCTCTGGATTTGACAGCTGCTGTAGAAGTTCAGTTTGAAACGGTCTCTAGATGCTCTGCTGCTGTATTTCCTTCATTGCTCCAGTCGTGGAATCGTTTGACTGCTGCAGCTATTCATAGCGGAGCTGTGTGAGGCTGTGAGCTCTGGTCACTTGTTGGAACTGGACTTTAATCACATTATTTAAATACGTCAGTGTTTGTTAGGGAACTGCTGGTGTGGTCGGTTCCTGTGTATTCAGAGGACGACGGCTCCTCTGATTCAGTCCCGGCTTCAGTCACGTTAAAGACAAGTTATATTGACATGGCTAACTCATGTTTGGTCTCCCCCCTCCTCCTCCTCCTCCTCCTCCTCCTCCTCCTCCTGGCTGGTGCTCTCGGCCAGGTCTCCTTGAAGTGTTCCCGTCATGGCCTCCAAAGTCATACCGTGGTATAAGAAGAAGCGTGTGAGCCAAGTCAAAACTGATTACGCGTATCATCACACTAAACATGTTGTCCAGCAGCAGACGGGAAGGTATGACGGTGCCGCTCACCTGCCGCTGCCGCTGCCGCTTCTGCTGCCGCTTTGGCCGGGTGGAGACTAGAGCGGCTGCTGGGGGCCGGGCAGCATCTGATCTTTGTTCTGCTGAAGCTGTGCCGGGCCCTGCGTGTCATTCTGCTTC